AGCTGATGTTATAAGTAACTTAGGCTACTTTTATTTTAGAAAAAGAGTTAGGCCTCCAATAATATAATATACCTAGGGTGTGCACGCACGTATATAGCGATGAAAATAAAGAAAAATAGCAGGAAAAGAATCTTTTTTTGTTGCTGGGAAAACCAAACGGAGACGAATTTAGGATTAGACGAATGTTATGATATTTTAAATAACATTATTTTTCCAGATTTTTCAAGATTTTAATTTTTTTTTTGTTTTTTTTTTCGACTTTTCGAATAATACAAAGCTAACATCGTCTGTGATAGACTCCATTAAAATATGCCAAGAACAATATAAAAAAACCCGCAAAATCTCTACAGTTTCTTTTAATTAAAATGTCAAATATTCGCGTCAATATATAAAAATATTATACGTGTAAAATAACACTAATAAAACTTCGAGATATTTCTTTCATATATTCATATATTCAGTACTTTTACAACAACGTAACTGCCTCAGTGGAGTAGTGGCTAGCATGTACGGCTGCAGATCCAGAGGTCCTGGGTTCGAGTCCCGGGTCGGGCCAAGTTTAGTTATAGAGTCTTTCAGAATAGTAAGCCTCAGTAACAGCCCGGGGTTGGGAAGTTGGCGGTGTTTCACCCCCGTACCTCGGAGAGCACGTAAAGCCGTCGGTCTGCGCCTTAACTCTCACTGGTCGTGTCGAGCAGTCGTCTCCCCGGAGTATGAGAGTGACAGGAACAGAGAGTGCACCTGTGTCTGCGCGTACACTTGTGCACTATAATATCTCCTGCGCAGTTGGTTAATCTCAATGAGATTGGCCGCCGAGGCCGGAATCGGCCAGGAGAACATCATCACTTTTACAACATTAAATTAATTCTTTTATGATCGTCACTCAGTCCATGTAGAAGCTACCACGAGCTCGAGAAGCTGTTCTGCTGAGAAGAGCGGGCAAGAAACTCAACAGTTGTTCTTTTAAATAATGAGATACATTATTTATAATAATAATTTACAATATTACAAACAATTCGTGACTGGTCACTAAAAGCTGGTACCGAGAACTCTGTGCAAAAGTGCGGGAAAAACAAATGATAACCCGCGCTCTTTTTTTTAAATACATTCCTACCGGCCAAGGTCACATAACTAAATGCCTTATATCATTACAAATTAATCAAATATATTATTTTTTCTCAAAAATGAGATATTTTCCCGCGGTAAAAAGTCAAGCCCCTTTGTCTATCATGATATAATATGCGGAAATCTAGATTTTTTTCTTGTTGTTTCAATTAAACTTCTATGAGGTCTTCCTCGAAAAAATGTTTAGAAATATAGAAATCGTTTGTGGTGCTCCCTTAAATCACGGGCTCCTTCCCCCTTCCCCCTCCCCACATCAAAATTTATAAAAATCTGATAGAAAAAAAATTGTTTTTTTTTGCAATTTTCTACAATTTTTGGGCACCATTTTAATTGGTACCCCTAAGAACCTTATTCGGACTACTTTCTACGAAAACTAAAAAAAAATGTCCAATCGATCCAATCAGCCTCATCAAAGAAAAGCATTTCATTCTTATCTATACATCTATACATATAAAAAAAAACATACAGTCGAATTGAGAACCTCCTCCTTTTTGAAGTCGGTTGATAAAATTGTAACTAAGCCGAATCTGTACATTAAATATTTTTTGGAAAATCTTATTGAAATAAACATTATTAACGATACAGAGGCCGAATCTATAGTTTTTAGTATTTTTGTCTGTCTGTCTGTTACCGCATCACAGGAAAACCACTGGAGGGATTTTGATGAAATTTGGTATGGTGATAGCTGGTTATCCGGGTCAACATATACATATAATCCGCGGGAAAATGTCTCATTTTTGAGAAAAAATACAAAAACTGCAATGTAAGAGTATACTAATATGTAAAACCTAAGAATTTAGTTTTTGGTCATCTGAACGCGGGCGAAGCCGCGGGCATTGCTAGTCATATATAAAAATGCAATATTTCATAAGATACATTTTCTACAATGAATATCTATTTACTACTTGCCTTTACTTTGTCCCAATATTAGATCAGCAGTTAGAGTATTCTAAGATATGTAGTGTATTGACATTTAGCGTACCAATGCTAAATATTAGAGTCGCGGTAAAGTACCTCCCGAAGATGACTATTTTGTTTTACTTGAACAATATATATATATATATATATATATATATATATATATAATACGTATTTACCAGCGAAATTCTCTATTCCATATTGTATTTATTAATACACATTATATTATAAAAAACTAAACTAATAAAATATGAAAATAATGTATTACAGAATTATTCCTCTTAAAAAGATCACTGTAGCAACATGTAACACAACTAGGGATCCGAGCGAAGAAAGGTGAAGTCACTAATATAATAAATATTTAATAACACCGTCGCGTTAGTATAAATCTATATACATATAATTAAAGTGTAACTGATCGCTGTCTGTACATGGAAGATATTTGAAAAAAAACTATCATTGGGAGTCTTTATTTACGCAATAGAACCCAAAACAATGATTTTTAGAATCTTTGTCTGTTTGTGCGCGCTAATCTCAGAAACTGCTTAACCGATTTCGATGAGGTTTTCACTAATATATTGTGGCAAGCTTCACTTAACACTTAGTATTTGTTTTATTTCAATCGGTTCATAAATAAGGAAGTTACGTTAATTTAGAGAATCACCTATTGAGTAGGGACGAACCCGAGCGGGGCGAGGGTGAGTCGCTAGTACTGAGTACTATAAATTCATTGAATTTAATATTATGTGGTAAGTGCTTAATGTTCAACTTAATGAGTTAAGTTATCCTGTTATGTACTGTTATTTTCATAGTTCGTAAATTACTTTTTTCACGACATACGCTAGTTTTATACTCGATTAATTATATTTGCGTGTGAACTGCGAGATAAAAGTAAAGTTAAAAATATAATATTATTTAACAATTTTAGTCCAAAGTTATTTATAAACATATAAGTTGTATACATTTTTCTGATAGTCTTTGAAGACCTTAATTTCCATATAGGTTTGGAAGGCAAAAATATTTTTAAAAAATAAATTAAAACTGAAACCTTATAATCTCTGGTTTTGTTTTTTTTTTATAATTTTGATATACCTTATGGCATTTGTGTTATCATGACGAATATAATGACCATTAATCAAAATCGGTTTAGCCATTATGAGGGAGTACGTACAGTCACACACACAACGCTCCTTTTATACTTCGCCGCAATCGGTAAATTATGGAAAAATTTCAGTACACATAATCGTAAAAGTTCCTATGTAAAGAAAATCATTTGACTAAATTACTAGTTGATTATATAATATAAATATAGGTGCTACTACTGTTTTGTCTTTGCCTATTTTACAAGCTTTTATTTAAATTGTAATGTTTGTATGTCTGTTTGTTCGTGTCAAATATTGCAACTGAATTTTAAAGCAACCGATTGGGCTGAAATTTTGAATACACGTTTGGATGACGATGCTTGGTTAGATAAGGGACGTCGATTAATAGCGACGGGATTTGAACCCGCTGCACTCGGGTTCCCAAGCGAGCGCGTTACCACTGGGCTACCACTGCGTCTGGCTCTTTTTGTGGTACGGAAGTCAGAACCCTAAAAACCAAACAGGATCGATCTTCATCGTGAGAGAAACTATTTACATTAACTCTAAATAGACATTTGGTATTCCAGCGAATACATCAGTAATGAGTTCTCGAACATTTCCTTTACAACAGTGTCAATATTGAATGTACGTGATTCGAACAAAATTTGAGCTTACACAGCCATTTTTTAGTTTTTAATTTCGTTTTAAATAAAACTTGTTTTTATTCGTCACTCGCCTGATAAGAAACTTGAATAAATAAAGCTGACGACACGTTTTTCTCAGTTTGTAGTGACCCTACTTGCTGTGCCAGTGGTTGAGGGTTCGAGTCCCGCTTGGGTTATTTATTTGTATGATGAGCACGAATGTTTGTACTCCAGTCATGGGTGTTTATATTTATAATATGTATGTATTTAAATTTATACCTATATGTGTAGTGTATCAACTATCTAGTGTCCATAACACAAGCCCCGTAGCCTACCATGGAAATAGATGGTGCTGCGAGTTAATGTCCCAACATATTTATTTATAGATATAAAAAAAATACAAATATACGTAAATTATAGACTAATTTTAAATTATGATCGTTTGAATAAAATATACTTATAAGATATAAATATCGAAGTCTTCCACAACCAACTCCTGTTCATATCATCAGATCAGTTCTATGTCATCAAAATCAAACAAACACTGGCTGGGTTTTCGCCCAAAGAACCAATATTGCTATTCAGCGGGAGAATACGGCTTGCATTCTTGCCACCATACCTACATCGGTTTTACATATATAACTAGCGACTCACCCTTGCTTCGCTCGGGTTCAACCCTAGCTTGCTTCCCAACACAAACTTTCATCCCCATTTTAACCCACTTAAGGGATGATTTCCTGGATAAAACGTATCCTATGTCCTTCCCAGGGTCTCAAACTATCTTCTTACCCAATTTCTTCTAAATCAGTTCAGTAGATCCAGAGATATGCCCCTACAACGTCCCAAACTCACAAATTTTACCTCTTTATAATATTAGTATAGATTTTTAATTAAATATATTTGTAATTTACTTTATTGTAAGTAAAATAAAATATGAGTATATCCAAAAAAAGTCAAACAATGTAAATTTAAAGTAAAGGTCGATGTAACAGCTAATTATCCTATAATATCTAAAACATACAGAAATACCGATGCATCAGAAGTTTTCCCAATATTGATATGAGTTAGCCATACAAATTATAACCTTATTCCTCAACAATAAAGCTTATTTGAATGAAACAAAAGAAAAATAATTTTGCCTTTTCCTCTATATATAAGCGTGAGGAGTGATCTAATATTTAGTCTTCTCAGTAAATTTGAATGTACATTGAACGGTGAAATTATAATCAAAATGGGTACAGCAACGTTGTTATTGTTGCTTACATTTGTTCTTATGATGGAGGTAATTAATTTTGATTACTTTATATGTACTAGTGATTTACTCTTGCTCGGGAATGTTCTATCCATACTTAATATTATAAATGTGAAAGTGTTTGTTTGTTTGTTTGTTTGTTTGTTTGTCATTCTTTCACGTCGAAACGGAGTGACGGATTAGTGTGATTTTTTGTGTGGAGATAGTTGGGGGGCTGGAGAGTGACATAGGCTACTTTTAACCGCGAGAGATTATCTCGTTCCCACGGGTAAACGCGTTATAATACAACCCAACAAATATTTATGACCAGAATTATTTGAAACTTGGTATTAATGCTCTTCGATGTAATTAAATAAATACGTGTTTTAGCATTTTTCAAAATGTATACCATAAGGGTGTGAAATAGAGGATAATATTATGTATAACACCTACCTATCTAGAGTATTTTTTGTAGTGTTAGCATGAGCGAAGTCGCAGGTCCTGCTAATGTGCTTATAAAAAATTTATAAAGTATGTCACCCGCCTTGTCTGTCTGTTTGTCTGTTTGAACTGATGAACTCAAAAACTATCGAACGGATTTTCATGCGGGTTTCATTAATGGATGGATTCATGAGGAAGGCTAAGATGTATAATTCATTGAGATTTTGTGTAAATTGGCTAAATTTTACGATGATTGTTGAAGATGTCGGCAAAAATCATGCTGACTGGTAGCTTTATTGGCGCGCGCCGCGTAAACTAATAAAGTTATATGAAAACAACGTATTACAGAATTATTGCTCTTAAAAAGATCTTCCTATGTACACGAACCTGGAGATGCACCCGGGCGCATCTTATATAGGTGCTGGCTAGCCACCTTTAGCAATTTTTATTACTATCAAATGCCTATGAGTTCTGCAGATAGCTAATATTATAAATGCAAAAGTTCATGATTGATGTACGTTTGTTAGCCTTGAACACAAATACTGAACGGATTTTGATGAAGCTTAACAGTAATATAGCTTACACATTAATTTAACACATATTACCGATACGGATACTTTAAACGGCTGCCATTTCGCACACTTGGCGTGACCTCACAGTATCATACAAAGAAAAATAACGACTTTACTTTGTAGCGACAAAATCGCTGATCGCTCTGTTATGATATACTCTGACGTCATATTCGATCTGACCAATGGCGTGCATTTCAACTACTTTGAATTTCCCACCTATATTTGCACTTCTTAATAATTATTTTATTAATCAAAAAGTCATTACATAAAAAATATTAATATATGCTTAATTCAAAAGCAATAAATATTATGAAAAAATATTTTACCTTTATTTAAATCACACGCTTATACTCTACTTTCAATCTTCTATCCCCTTTTTTCCAGATTGTGTCCAGCCACTGGTTTGGAAGATATGGTTATCCCTACCCTCCTCCTGTCGTAGTAGGTGGGTTTGGAGGATTCGGAGGATATGGAGGATACGGCAGAGGTTTTGGAGGATACGGAGGGTTTTATAGAAATGTATTATTTGGTCCACCACCACCTCCTCCACTTTTCTACAGATAAATATCTGGTTCTACAGCATCATGATATCGATAAAAGGTTATTTGGGGAGTTTGTAATATTATTATTATTAATAAACAAAATATAATTATACTTTTAAAAAATATTACAAAATTTTTCGATAAGTCTCTTTTAAACCAATTGGACTTGTCGAAACAAATATTGTTATTATATATTTTTATTATGAACTTAGTACAAGTGATAAATTATGTGATATATTATAATAAATGAAGGTTTAATTCACTTTTGAATTTCATTTTTCGGTCCTACTAGAGAAAAAAATATTCAAGCGCAATTTTGGGCTCGTTTATTTATTATTATTAGACTAACGACATGCTTCCCCATACAAACTTTCATCCCCATCCTCACCCTCTTAAGGGATGATTTCCGGGATAAAAACTATTTCACTCACTCACTTTTCATATTGAGATTACAAAAATGTTATTTTAGTAAAAAAAATCTTTTAATTTTCTTCTAAGTATATAAAACTTGTCCTGATAATAAGCAAACACAAAAAAAAATATCCAATTTGGTGCAGTCGATCGGAAGTTGTGCGCGTACATACATTTCGGTGATTCACTTTTACTTATAGAGATTAGAAAGGTTTTCTTACATTTTGATAATTTAAAGGGTGCTGCTATGTGTATATTACGAATTTAGATATTATACGCTTTTGAGCCACACCAACCTGTATAGTAATAGTTTTTACTTAATTCAGCACTTTTATTAATTCAATACATTTTTTTATACCACGTCGGTGGCATTCAGGCGTGCGGCCCGCCTGATGGTGAGCGGTTACCGCAGCGTATGGACGCCTGCAGCACCAGGGGCATCACATGCGCGCTGCCGACTCTTTAAAAACCTATTTACTCCCCTTTTGAAGGACCCCATACTGTAGCCCTCTGGGAAAATCTCGGCAGGGAGTTCATTCCACAGCGAAATCCTAGGCACTTTCTCTCAATGTGAACAGGATTATGCCATAGGCCATCACGGCCACACAGATCCGGATGTCTTTCGAAAATTTGCTAGGTTCTCTCACAAATATGTAGATTTCCTCACGATATTTTCCTTCACCTTAAGACAAGTAATCGTGTTGGAAATGGTTTGCACATAAAAATTTCAAAAGGTTCAAAAAATAAGTTGTAACAGACATACAGACAAATCATCTAAGAATTCCGTTTGTTTTTTAAATTTGAAACACTAAAACTGGCAACATTAGGTGATAGACAAAAGAAAAAGAGCAGGGATCTTGAATGAAAACGCTATTGCTGACATGATTTGTATATTATAACACGTATTATATTGAGTAAGTAATAATTATAACACCAGAGCTTAGCTTAACAACAAGTATTTTAAACTTTAAACTTTCAATCGGAAATCTATTACTACGAAGCATTTAGGCCATTTTCAGACGTATCTGAAAATTAAAAAAAAAGATATTTAATATCTTCAACAGTGGTTAAATTTTTGGCAGAAAATATATGATTTTTTTTTAAATTTATAAGAAAATATGTAGACACCATCAGACTTATGCTAGATCTTAGGAAAAAACGATGATATGCATATTTTTTTCTATTCTAAGAGTATATATTAGAAAAGGTTATATTATGATATGTCTCCTAGGCACCTATAACTTATTTTTTAAGAGTAAAATTAAGCAAAATCCTTATTCTAAGACTAATTTAACACCAATAATTATTATATTGCCTATATAAATGCCTCAGCCAACGATATGTTTTAGTTACGATAATGAAGAGTTACATCTATGTATTAGTTAAAGATTAAACATTTTAAAACTGTCTAGAATATAACACTCATAAGTTATTCTTAATACTAAAACTACACACAATATTAGTAGAAACTAAAATTCACGTTCCTCTACACACTTTTTTATATATATTTTTTGTAGATTATTGAAATTAAAGGGCAAATCGGTAACCGTTTTTCGAAGCGATTAATCTGTTTTTATTTTCTCGTCGTCGTCCATAAAAGTATCTTTGACATTAAAAAAAAACGACAAGCAAAATTTGAAATTGTCAATGGCAATACTTTCCTAAGTTTTTATTTAATAGCCATATACTGATAAACTAAATTTCATAAAGTAGATCACTTATAAACAAAAAAAAAATTATAAAAATAAAACTTTTTCATAAAAAAGTCAATCAATGCAACAAAAAAATTTACTATTAAAAAAAAAGATATTGTTTTTTAAATATTTAATGCATTCTGTACACGCCGATCCTCTTCTCGCCGGCGGTGTGTTGCACAATCTCGCGGATCTGATCGGTAGCAACTGGTCCAATGCAAACGAGAGGCTCCTTGAAGTATGCGCAGCTCTAAATAAAAGATTTTTAAATATTATTGTTACGTAGTTGATAGTGTTAAAAATCCTTATGTCAAAATATATAGAACCAAACATACATACACACAAGCATACATACATTCTAAACCTATTTCAAAAGGTTAGTTTTATATTATTATCGCCTACATACTTAAAATAACTTAAGAATTTTTTTTAAATAAAATACTGCTATATTCAAGACTTCGTCGAAATGAAAAGAGAACAAATGAATCTTATAACGACTCTATTCATTTTGTATTCACAGATTATCTTCAAACGCGAAGGAAAATTGTAATTTTTTCGCATGACTTGTAAGTCGCTTCGACTTTGCCTGATCGTTTATTAGTTATTTAACATTTGTTTTTTGTCCGTGGTCCTTTGTAATTAAAAGGGACGGGGTTAAACATAGCCTATGTCCTCTAGGATGCAGTCTATGTCAAATATTATACTTAACTGTTCAGTGGTTTAAGCATGAGAAGCTAACAAATAGACAAACAGTCACTTTCACATTTATAATATTAATATGGGTGTTATTTGGGTTAGTTTCAAGTCAAGACTTAAGATACTTTTCCTCAGAAATCCAGGGACCTATTTGAAATTAATATCAAATACCCAGAATTTGTCGAAAAAACCAATCTTCTAAGTCAACGCTATCAAAATATACAGCCTTTTTACCAACCACAACCAACCAACCTTTTAACCTTTTAACCAACCTTACGATGCATATTTTGACACTCTCTAAGGAATACGTAAGGTTATTAAAACCTATAAGCTACTTCCTATTGACCTAGAATCATGAAATTTGGCAAGAAGCAACCCCCCATAGCATAAGTAAAGGGAAAAATCCTAAAATTGTAAAGTAGTTATATCAAAAAAAAAACTTATTTTAATGTTTCATTCTACAGAGCCCTCGGTGAGCGAGCCAGACTCACATATGTCAGATTTTTTGACAATTATTGCATTTGACGTGATTTCCGCTAATAATACAGGCGATCACTCTCCGTATGGATTTTTATATGATATTATGCTGAAAAAAAATCTGATTACAAATCACCTTTCTTGGCTTCTGGCGGTGTCTGCGTTGCATGATGCAGCAGAGTCCACGGGTGATGTCGCATTCGTTAGATGAGGAGCAGTCTTCGTTGTATTGCTTGTGACCGGCAGATGGGGGACGGCAGACGTGCATCTCACCTATAGAGATTTTATCCATTATATGATCACCAAAATTATTATCTACAAGTAGTAATGTGAGGAGATGGGATCATTTTCCATATTTCTAACTTATTTGTACATAAACTTTCGTATAAAATTTCATTTCACGATGATGAATTAAATTGTCAAAAATCACAACCATGCTTTCCGTTGAACCACTCTCCACGGAATCTCATATCTAACAATTATATAACATATTCAACGACACGTTTGGCTTAGTTTGTTGTGACCCTACTTGCTGTGCCAGCGGTCGCGGGTTCAAGTCCCGCTGGGGTATAAATTTGTGTGATGAGCATGAATATTTGTACTCCAGTCATGGGTGTTTATATATTTTATAATAAATATATTCAACTGTCTGTATATGTATGTATTTAAAGTATTTAAAAAAAAAATAAAAAAAATTGTGCTTCTATGTTTAGTCTTTAGGCGGTACTATGTCAGTTAATCAGTATTAGAGTTTTATTGAGTAGATTTTTGAAAATGGATGTGAATTATCTCTTTTAAACCAGTTATTAAATTGCAAAAAAGTCACCATGCCTTTGCCTGAAAAGCTTTAATGTCGTCCCGATCGATTTCGACCCCGGCGGTCAATTCTACTGAGACTAGCTAACTGTGCAAGAGGTGTTATAATGCACAAATGTATGCGAATTTCTTAACAGAAAGATTCAATAATTAAATTAAATTCTAATTGACCTGACCCGGGACTTGAATCCAGGACCACCGGATGTGCAGCCGCACGGTGAAAAATTTTTTTATATACATAGTAACATCAGCAATTACCATATTATAATTATCTAAATCAGTTAGCAAATTGTTTTTTATATACATATACTTAGTGAGCGATGTCAATATTAGAGTAACAGAGCTTGGACTTTGATTGAAATGGGAATTTATCTACGAACCCTGATGTGAAGAATTGTTAAGATTTTTGCAATGCAATAAAAAAAAGTTGGCAGAACCTTTACCTACTGATTTTTAAGCTAACCTTTAAAGTTTTGTCAAAAAAAAGAAGAATAAAGAAAGAAAAAATACATAATATTAGACCAAAACTTATAAACCTAAAATTTCGGTGCTCAATTTTTTGATAGAGGCTGCCAAAGTACCAATCATCGGTGAATACACTTAAATATTTTTCAACAGAATTACGGATATGAAAAGCTTCTTAGATATAAAAACGTCAGAAAACGAAGATTAATGATCATGTCTACTCACGATACTACGCTATGCAATACTTATCTCAATTTGCTTGGGGAAATTCTAAAAGGATTTATACGAAAATTTCACAAATATTTTCTTTTGAGTGTACATATATACTTTGTATGCTCAGATTAAGGAGTAAAATATACGGAGTGTCATAGAACTAAACACGAAGCCAAACAATTTTAGAATTTAATATACTAGAAAAACAAAAACAAACCTATACCACGGGATGACGGGATGCTATTCCAGACCATTCCGGATCTATCTCCGTGTCTAATTTCAACCAGATCCGTTCAGCCGTTTTGGCGTGATTGAGTAACAAACATCCATCCAAACACCTAAACTTTCACATTGTAATATTAGTAAGATAATAATGTTATAAAACAGAATACAAATACTAACAGAATATTCATTACTTTGTACAATCCTATATAAAAAAAAACAAAGCGCTAAATACGTTGCAAGTGCAAAACTGGAGAACAACTGGACCAATTCGTAATTTTTTTTAATTTGAATGTTCGTTAAAGTCCGAGGAAGTTTCTTACGAAGATAAAAATTGGAAACATTGACCGGAAAAACGTAACAACAGAATTTTCGTGCGTCGCAAGTTCCTTTGGCTTGAACTTGGCTGGACACACTACTACGTGTCTTAATAGATCTTTTGAAGAGGAATAATTGTGTTCATATAACTGAATTGGTTTACGCGGCGCTTGCGAATAAAGCTACTAGTCGGCATGATTTTTCCGACATCTTCAACAATCATCGTAATATTTCAGCCTATTTACAAAAGAACCTGAATAAACTATCCATCTAAATCTTACTTATGAATCACTCCATCCATTGGTGAAAACGTATTAAAATCCGTTCAGTGGTTTCCGAGTTTATCACTTTCAGACAGACAGACGTAGTGGAGGGATTTCGTTTTATAATATGTAGTGAGTATATGTACGAACCTGGTACGACCTCTTCACAAACCAGCCCAGCATCACATTGGTTTTCACGGTTACACATCTCGCCTAACTTGCGCCCAGCAAATGCCGGAAGACATCTCCCTCCATCCTCTGAAACAAAACATCGTTAAAACCCGAATATTCTCAGTAATGTTTAATTTTGAATTTTGTGTATGTATGTACGTCCGATCTCGTAATTCCTAAACGACTTAACCGATTTTGATGATTCATACGTTGTTTGATTCATTTGATAATGCGAGTGTCATAGGATATAGATATCATAAAATTTTAAATAACGGATTCTATGTTTCTTAATCAACTTGTTCTCATCTTTTTAGTTCGCTTTCTAGTTCCATAGCAAGCTACGTGGCCTGTGTTATGGATACCAGATAGTTGATACACTACACATATATGTATAACTTTAAATACATACATATTATAAATATAAACACCCATGACTGGATCATCGTTTTACACAGACGAAGCCGCATATAAGAGTTAGTTTAATATAAACAAGCATACATTCTAAAGCATAATAACACCTTAAAAGCTTTTAACAAATTATTTTCCATTACATTTTGATGTCAGTTAAGCACTTGACACTTCATTTATCTAGGCAGGAGTGCCATCTTGATTGCTTCAGCCATTACCTTAATTATACTATGTATTATCATTTCACCCCTCACCTACCCTCACTACACCCCCTTCTAAAAACTTCTTTCATCTTCTATCCCCTATCCTACAAACCCCTATCCTTTTTCCAGGATAGCAACAGGGTAACAAATGTACATTTCGACTTGCAATGCTTAAAATCGTTCAGTAGTTTCAGGCAGATAACATATATCTTGCAAAATTAATATCGGACTGCAAAAGATCTGTAGGTTCCATTATCTATAATACTTATATAATAAAATTCTAAGTCGAATCTGTACATTAAATATTTTTTGGAAAATCTTATCGAAATAATCATCATTATCGATACAGAGGCCTAATTTACAGATTTTAGAATTTTTGTCTGTCTGCCTGCCTGTTTGTTTATGACCGCATGACGTGATTTACTGGACAAATTTTGACGAAATTTGGTATGCTAATTATCCGAGTCAACATATAGGGTAGTTTTTACTTTGGGGAAATATCTCATCTCTGAGAAACCTATACTAAACGTTAAAACCTATGTAGGGACGAACCCGAGCGGAACGAGGGTGAGTCGCTTGTTATATGTAAGGTTCTATTTTGTTGAGTGTCAACAAAGGTCAACGGTACGGTTATAGTCCATCGGCCCTACCTTTTCGCTTCGAACCCAAAACCTTAATTACTATTAGTAGTCCATAATATACGTCGCTTTGAGCCTACTAATAATTAATTTACTATACATGTATATAAGCCAAGATAAATAATAATGTCAGATCTACACACATATGCCAGATATACTATTCCTTAGTCTGAGAGTCTAAATTTAAGACCATGTCAGAGTTGAAATATGAAGTGAGCAGACTAAAAGCTCAGCCACCCTTAAAAGTACGTAAGGGATGTAAAATAATCACTTGGCTAATATTTCTGGAAGAAACAAAATGCGAGAGACAGAATGTGTGTTGTAAAGTAACAAGTGCCATAAAAAGTTTCATAATAGCTCCATCTTGAAAGTGATGTAAGATTGAATCTTGAGGGAGTATTTTGTACTAGCTACTTATCCTCACTTCTTTTTTTACTTTTCTTATACGTTTTAATGGTTAGTATGTAATAGATAGACTATATAATATTATATATGTTGAAGGAGGATTTAGTTGCCTTTTTCTGCTAGAATGTGAAACCTTATTGTTTGAAATCACTATATTATTTAGTTTACTTTTTGTTGCCTTTAAAGTGATTTTGAATTTAGAGCAGAGGCTACGTCTCGAGCGGGGTCGAGACGCCATCATGACATTCATTGGAGATACGTGGCTTAGTAACGTTGGTTGATCATGGTGGATCATAGAGAGTTATGTTTGATATTGTAGTTGGAAGTCGATGATTGACGTCCCAAATCCGCTGTTTCTCTAAATCATTAGAATTACCGTTTCCAGTGATTTCCCTGATTAAATTAAATTGATTTTTTTGAGATTTAAGTGCGGGTTGGCGGACTTTACATGTCTTTTGAAAGCTTGCTAGGTCCTGTAAGACATGCAGGTTTCCTCACGATGTTTCCTTCACTGTAAGACAAGTGGTAATCATGTTAGAAATGATTCGCACATGAAAATATCAGAGGTGCAAGATCCGGGATTTGAATTCGCGTTACTCGGTTTCCCAAACGAGTGCTTTACCACTGGGCTACCATTGTCACAATATGCAATGCCACAATGTATTTTTATTCTATTTACATTTCTACCTACAATTGATTCGATGAAATATTATACATGAATTTGTGTACATATAATAAAATTCTGATTCGAATCTGTACATTTAATATTTTTTGGAAAATCTTATTGAAATAGTCATTATTATCGATACAGAGGCCGAATCTATTGGTTTTAGAATTTTTGTCTGTCTGTCTGGGAACGCATCACGAGCAAACCACTTAACAGATTTTGATAAAATTTGGTATAATGATAGCTGGTTATCCGGGTCAACATATAGGATATTTTTTACTGCGGGAAAATATCTCATCTCTGAGAAATCTATATTGACCGTTAACACGCATAGAAGAACCCGAGCGGAGCGGGGGTGAGTCGCTAGTGCTACATGAATACATTGTTAGGAAGATTGATTTACTTCATTATTAATATCACTTTGAATATTAATTACATCAGTACTATCGTCATTTTTAATCACTGTGATATTAAAAAATGAAAGCTGCGCAAGGTATGTTGCGCAGAAAAACGTAACGGTTTTGTGTTAATAGTTGTATTAATTTCACTCCATAAAATTTCCAAGTCAGGAAGGGGCCTTATATGATAATCGATTCTTAAGAAGTGTACCCCAATAAATGAATATAAATACATTGGTACATTAGCACACAGCACCATCTAGTTCCATGGTGAGCTACGAGGCTTGTGTTATGGATACCAGATAGTTGATACACTACACATATATAACTTTAAATACGTACATATTATAAATAAATAAAAGAAAAATTTCCAAGTTTTGCTATAATTACATAAAAATTTACTCCAATTTAGGTATAGAAGCAAGTTTTGAAACTCTCACATTTCAAAATAAGTGGAAAACTTCTACAAAGGAATGGCAAAGAAAGTCGTATGAAAATAATACTTAAATTAAGACCATTTTCGACTCAGAAACGCAATTTTGTGATGCAAAGACCACTTTAATTATAACTTCGCCAGAACATCTGTACATTTTCAAGACATTTATTTAAAGAACTGAAAGCTCTTTGAAGTGGAATATCACTTTTTGACCGACTGCGAAAAGGAAGATATACTCATTTAGTAAAGTGTAATAATATATTATTACCGGTAGATGGGTCTTTGGAGAAGGACAGGCTACTTTTTGTTGTAAAAATGAAACTAGAACGGGGTGAAATGAGCTGAAAGTTTGTATTGGGAACAAATCATTACAATTTAAGGACATAAAAATTTGTTATTCGATATATAATATTTTGGTAAGGAATAAATATTTTTAAATAAAACTATCTTTTCGGATTATTTCGCGGATTTATTTTGATTTTTGGTTCCTAACGTTTCGAATGCTTTACAGCATCCATGGTCACGGGAGAGACATTCGCGTAAATCTAAGAAAGTATAAGGAATAAATATTTATAATATATATGTATTTAAAGTTATATATGTGTAGTGTATCAACTATCTGGTATCCATAACACAGCCCCGTAGCTTACCATGGAACTAGAAGATTTGATAATGATGATGTCTATTTTTTTATAGTTTTTACCTATTAAAACGTACCTAGGATGTACCCAAGCAAAGCTCACTAGTTATAAAATATTATATGTACATTTAAGCTTAAACCGTAGCTTTCTTGTGAAGTATGCTTCAAGGCAAAATACGTCACATGAAGAGTTTTTACAGTCATGGAACGGCAGTCACGCCAAGCTTAGAGTATAAGTTAAATATTTATTTTAGAAATCGTTTTTCTTTTGCAAGTTCCAGGAAATTATACAAGGTTACACTACATATTATTATAAAACAAAGTCCTCCGTCGCGTCTGTCTGTCTGTCTGTCTGTTCGCGATAAAGTCAAAAACTACTGCACCGATTTTGATGATTTTTTCACCAATGGATAGAATGGTTCTCGAGGAAGGTTTAAGTATATAATTTGTTAAGTTTTTGTATACATTGGCTAAAATATAACGATATTTGTTGGAGGTGTCAGAAAAAAAATAAGCCGTCTCGTAGCTTTTAACGAAAACGCTGTCTAAACGCAGTAGCGTTTTACTTAGTTAAGTAGATTTGCTTTTGTTTTTCACTGAAAAACGGATCGACTATCTACATATTATACTAACCGTTAAAACGTACCTAGAGACGAACACAAGCGAAGCGAGAGTGAGTCGCTAGTTATATTATAAAAATTAAAGAAAAACCGATTGCTAAAAGGAGAAGCGAAAAGAAGGAAGATAAAATGGTGTAATATTCGAAAACATATTATGTACTCGTACATGCTTTCAGAAAAATGCTGAATGGATTTGATATATGTACATTGTACATACATAAATACATATATACAGGTCTAACCATATATATTCTTACCAGCTGTTTTTTTACCAAATAACTACTAAACTATAATAGAACAAAACCAGCGACTCGCCCTCGCTCCGCTCGGGTTCTTCCCTGCTTACATTTTAACGTTTAGTATTGATTTCTCAGAAATGAGATATTTTCTAGCAGTAAAAAGTTCCTATATGTTGAACCGTATAACCAGCTATCATCATAACAAATTTCATCAAAATCTGTCCAGTGGTTTTTCCGTGATACGGTAACAGACAGACAGACAGAGAGACAAAAATTCTAAAAACTGTAGATTCGGCCTCTGTATCGATAATAATGTCTATTCAATAAGATTTTCCAAAAAATATTTAATGTACAGATTCGGATTAGTTGCAATTATATTATATGTATAAATAATTGTTAAAAAATATTTTTAAAAACAAGCTTTAATTTAAATGCTCTAAAAAGAAGATAATAAACTTTAAATTAAATCAAAACCATCAATTTATTACATTACACAATTTGTATGATATAAATTATACATATTAAAATAAAATTATAACTGAGTCGAATCTGTCTGTACGTTAAATATTTTTTTGGAAAATCTTATTGAAATAGTCATTATTAGCGATGTAGAGACCGAATCTATTGTTTTTAGATTTTTTTGTCTGTCTGTGTGTCTGGGAACGCATCACGAGAAACTCACTGGATTAATTTTGATAAAATTTGGTATGATATGATGATAGCTGGTTATCCGGGTTAGCATATAGGATACTTTTTACTGCGGGAAAATATCTCATCTCTGAGAAATCTATACTAAACGTTAAAACGTAACTAGGGACGAATCTGGTGTGTCACTAGTCTAAGTATAAATTATATTGCATGTTCTAGGGTTGGCATTATAAAGCAAGTATTTTTACTTAAAGAAAATGCCAAGGGTTGCCAATTAACATATTTCAAACTATTTTCCACATTTTAGAATAAATTATAAGTGTTACTTAGAAAGTTATAACTAACGATAAATTTAATTCATTTTTACTTAAGATTTTAGCTTAATTTATTCTTAACCGATTTAAAAGAGAAAGATTTTTGACTGAGTGTTTTTGTATGTACGTACGTAGTTTCTATTATATATGTATTATTTTTTAACCTTTTTCGTGACGAAGCCATGGTATGGATAAAGAATTAACAAATGCCTCGATAGTCTAGTGGTTTGTGTGCACGCAGATCCGGGGGTCCTTTGTTCGAGTTCCGGGTCAGGCCATCTTCAATTATTGGGTTAGCAAAAGCCGCGGCTTCGCTCGCGCTAAAACTCATACCCTATTTTACTCTCTTATGGGATAAATTTCGAAAAATGCTAAAAACGTACTAATGAATTGTATTAAAGATTTTTTTAATTTGATAATAAAGAAAAAGCAATCTTCTAAGCCGACGTAAATTGAAAATTGTAACACTCGCAAAAACCAAAACCTATAAGATACTACCCGTTGACTTGAGCACAAGTGAATGAAAAAATACCAAAATATTTTTTAAGATATGATAAATTTTCGGTTAGACGCGTGCGGTCGCAATATTAGGTTTGTTTCTCATAGAAAAGCTATAAAATACATGTTAAAACATGACATAAATATTTCAAGCTACGGAACCCTCCGAGTGAGCACAACTCGCACTTTCCCTACTTTTCATCAATCTCTTTTCCATCTCCTATTCTCTCACATACCTGTTTCCAAACACATAAGCCCACGGCAGCAATCCCCGTTAGTGATGCAGGGAGCGCTATAGCAATGGGTGTCTTCAGCATCCTCAATCCGGTTGCCTTCGAGGGCCTCTGCGTATATTTCTTCCGGCTCCACCTGATGGGAAAAATAAGTATTAATATTGATGTTCTCCTGACCGATTCCGGCCACGGCGGCCAATCTTATTGATACGAGCCAACTGCGCAGGAGATATTATAGTGCAAAAGTGTACGCACAGACACAACGTGCACTCTCTATTCCTGTCACTCTCATACTCCGGTGGGACGACTGATCGACACGACCAGTGAGAGTGTCGGCGCAGGACCGACGGCTTTACGTGCTCTCCGAGGCACAGGGGTGAAACACCGCCAACTTCCCAACTCCGGGCTGTTACTGCGGCTTATTATATAGAAAGACTCAATAACTAAACTTGGCCCGACCCGGTACCTGAACCTAGGACCTCCGAGTGTGCAGCTGTACATGGTAGCCACTACACCACTGAGGCAGTTAATATTATTATATTATTAGGTAAGTTGAACTTATAAAGCTTCATACTTTTACTGACTAACATAATATCTATATTTCACAAAATGTTTTGGAGTTGTATTTTATGTTATGTATGTTTGTTTGTTTCTTCTTATGTTCGTTTGTTTGTCCTTCTTTCACGTCGAATCAGTGAGGGATTATCGTGATTTTTTGTGTGGAGATAGTTGGAGGGCTGGAGAGTGGAATAGGCTAGGCCAGAACGACTGAATGGATCTAGATGAAATTTGGCATGGAGATAGATTATAGTTTGGAATAGCACATAGGTTATTTTTTATCCCGGAAAAACGTACGGTTCCTGTGGGATAGATTTTTTGGTTTTTCACTAGAGCTGAACCCAAGCGAACTGCGGGTCAGTCGCTAAGTATCTATATATAAATAAGCAAGACAAAACATTTCAGTACCTTGTTTCGTCTTTGCCCATTTAGGTATATATATAGATCTAAGATTCTTGTCAATCAGTCCAATGATCCCATATAATATAGTATTTAAATAATGATACAGTATATAATTTATTTAATAGATCTAATATTAAACTTCCAACATATTTTCAGTTTTTTCAGCTAATTTCTTAATAAAGATTAGAAATGAGATCAAAAAACTTTTTAATGTCAAATTATAATACTAATTCATAAAAGCGTAGTTAATTTTTTTTATATACGATTTAGTTAATTTAAAAATAAATTAAAGAACTTTTGAATGTTAAAGGTAAATAAATGGTTTGTTAGAAATATATACTTTGGGGAAAAAAACCGCCTCCAGGTTGTTTTAATGTTGGAAAAATATTGTAATATTTCATAATATTACAAAGGAAGATGAAAAAAAACTTGTTTTTGTCTAATTAAGATTTTTTGAGCCAATTCTTTACAGAAAAAGTCTATTTGAATTGTTATAATTTAATGCTAGCTAATATTTACGTCAGATTGCGTACTCCAGTGAGTATTGTCGGTATTAAAATCCGACAAAAGTAAATTTCTACTTCAAACAGCTTTCGTTTCTCAAGAAAATTGCTGAGAAAAGTACGGATATAGTCAAGTTATAATTAAAGTAGTTTTTACTTCACCGGGTTATTTTTAAGTCAGACATTTTCATTTTACTTTTCTTACGGTTCTTGTATTGAGATTAAATTAAGATGAGTTTAATCTATACATATAATAAAATTGTAACTAAGCCGAATCTGTACATTAGATATTTTTTGGAAAATCTTATTGAAATAAACATTATTATCGATACAGAGGCCGAATATATGGTTTTTAGAATTTTTGTCTGTCTGTCTGTCTGTCTGAGAACGCATCACGTGTAACCCATTGGACGGATTTTGATGAAATTTGGTATAATGATAGCTGGTTATCCGGTTCAACGTATAGAATACTTTGTACTTCTAGAAAATATCTCATCTAAACGTTAAAACGTAACTAGAGAAGAACGCGAGCGGAGTGAGAGTAAATCCCTAGTCATAAATAAAACCTCTTATCAAAATGAAAGTTTTAACTGAGTACCTTTTTCAAGTGGAGCAATTAAAGGTTACACCAAAAGTTTAATTGGGATGAAATTTAAAAGCTCTTTCAGCCGAGAAATTTCATTAACCGTCGAGTGTTTCCGGCCAAGTACACTCAATATTCACAGTCTATTACATTTTCAGTGCGACCTTTTTACGTCATTCGTATCGGCATTATTACGAAGTATATTCCATGGTTTTTCTTTTGTTTTGTTTGTTTTTGTGTTGTTATGGGGTTGCAAGATATGGTTTACAATAGACGAAGTACAATCGGAGAACGCTATTTTAAAAGACTTGAAGATCTTGACTCCATTCTTTTTTACCAATTGGAATTTTGTAAGTTTATTTTGATGTGTTTTTTTCTTCAATTTGATATATTTTCTAAATACTATATTTTTTTTATACAAACTAAGAAAAATAAATGTATGTATGTATTCAACCCCTTTTAACGTTCTTCTACTGGGGGTGGGCTATCTTACTACAAGAATCTTCAATCTGGCCATAATCCATCACTCTGGCCAAGTTTTTTTTTACAAAAAATATTGTATTTTGACTTGAGTTATAGCTGTTTTTGCTATGAAACAAATATATGTAATCACTAGATAATGCAGACACATATTTTATGTAGAATATAATAAATAGCTGTAATGTAATGTGTTAAAGAACGGTGTTGCTGGTCGCGCTCCTCCGAAACGGCTCGACCGATTTTAATGATTTTTTTGTATATTTGGTAGGTATGAGAATAGGCCGAAAAATATTTTTCACCCTCCTAACTACAACCAAAATTTTTAAATCGATATTTTAGTGTTTTTGTATGAACAAATTTAAAAATTTAAAATTATTATTAAATTAAAAAAGCCAAAGTTTTTTTTGTTGATTGAATACAAACAAAGCGGCGGGCTCTTCTAGTTTCTAAAGTAAAAATATTTTTTCGGTTTTTTTTCGCGGAAATACATAAATTCTTGATGAAATTCTCAAAAGATATTACTATGTAATATATCAAATACTCGCATAAATTAAGAAAATATTCTGTAATATTTTTTTTTATTAAACCTTCTGCGTCGTTCTTAAGGATTATTGCGTGATGTTAGATAACGTATGACCTTTTCTAATAAATAGGCTATAAAATGGGAAAGGATTTTTAGAAATGGATTAATAATTTCAGACATTAACGTGTTTAAACGAAAAAAAAACTCTGCTTTTTAATATTAATATGATTTCTAGGTAAAATTTGCCAAATTACTGAAAATATTACGTTACTGAGAAATTTATAGGATGTATTTCTTCTCTCCTTTAACATTTTAAAAGGTGACATCAAAATGTCACTCCACAATTATCAAATGGACCACACATGACCTTTTCGCAGCTTAACGCAAAGGTCGCTAGGGTTAAAAATAATCGTTTGATAATAATATTCAGTTTTCATGCTACCATCGATTGCGAAAAACAACATTGTAACACGGATTAGAGATATTTTATTAAATAGGTATGAATTTCTGATGATTCTGGCCGAATGGAGATATTTTCCAATTTTTTTCTGTATAGTTATAAAAATTTAAGTAAAATTTCACAAAAATGTGAAAGAATTGTTAAAATATCACAACAAATGAAAAAGTTATGAGACTTTAAAGTTGCGCTTGCAAGAGTAACTTCGTGACGTCACACGACCTAATCGACCGACATTTATATTAATTTCCAAGTCATTTATTGATATATTTCAAAAATGTTTTCACAGATTTATTAGTTATGATCTATATTATATTTACATTGCGTTAAATATGATATTAATAACATAATGAAACTTCCCTATTCAGCTAGTGCTCAATCTCAACGAGATTATCGTAGTAGTAAATATTGTAAAATGTGGAATGAAGTGGTAGTTCAGCGATTTTAGGGCACATTTAATCGACTAACAGATTTCTCTTTTGGAGTTTAAGTACTCCTTAACAATCGATTATCGTATAAGGCTCTCGGTATGGAAATTTTATGAGGAGCGAAATTAATATATATATAATTAATATATATATATATATATATATATATATATATATATATATATATATATATATATAATATCTACACGTCTTTAATTTGAAAATTTCAACTATAGTTTAATAACGTTTTGATGAAACGTTATTATTCAAATTGTGAGTCTAAACCATTCCCAGATCCCCTTGGCACACACAAAAAATTTCATCAAAGCTGGCGGACTGTTTTTTTATGCACACTCACAGAAGAATGGATATAAAGATAATGTATAAAGTGTTAACTAAAGTTTACGGAACGTTTTAAGGAACGTTTTACGTCATTGTAAATCCAATATGGTGGACTCCCAAAAATGGCGGGCTGTATTTGTTTACTTTTAGAATTACTAAATAAAACTGTTTTAAAGCAAAAAAAGAAGAAAGTGAAACAGACGTTCATATAAAATATCTTAATTTATTATACACTGAGATGAAATGACAAAAATTTTAGGTAGATAGATATATTAATGTGTAGACTTAAAGTGTACTCTCAAGTTTGGTGGGACGAAGAGTTGACACGAATGGTGAGGGATCAGACGCAGGACCGGGTGTAACAATTTTTAAATTCCGACCTTTTAAGATTTTATTACTTAAAATGTAAATATTCGTATATTCTTTCAAAACACCAGTCACTCTATAGCAAAATAAAAAATTTCTTCCCAGAGAACTACTTGTACAAACATAAAAACCCGCAACCACAAACACGTAGTGTGTTACAAAAGTTTTCGTGGCTTTTAAAAGTGAAAAGGCAACATAACTGTACAAAATTTGAACCCGAATTTAAAATTTTACATTCGAGTATTTAGTGAGAGTTGACTTTAGGTTATATTATGCGATTTAAAAACATAGAATTTGATTACTTATTTTACAAAAAACAAAACCTAATCTATCACACGGGAACAGTATGTTTTCCGGGATAAAAAGTGGCCTATATGCTATTCCAGATTATAATCTATCTCTATGCCAAATTTCATCTAGATCCGTTTAGCCAAATATTGATGTGAATCTAGAGTGGACTCAATTTTCCGCACTTAAACTCTAAATTGGTATTTTGTGCGTCCTGAGTCCTGGCTAAGCTAGCCAGTTTAACTTCTTCCAGAAGCGCAGAAGTTTCCTGGGAACTGCACAGGCTTCGTGGAGTGACCTCACTGACCCGAGGATTTCTTTGCGTTGATGAGCCACTGCCTCGCATTCAGGATTACGTGGGTGACTGATTCTTCGGCACTGAAACATCCTCTGCATAGAAGACTATCCGTCCCACCGGTTATGAATAGGTGTTTGCTTAAGTAACAATGGACCGAATTGTGCCTATCATTATTTTCAGGTTGATTCTGTTGCGACTTAGAAGACGATTTGTCAGTCGCAGGCTAACTGCAGGCAGTGCTAGTTTAGACTGCCTGCATTCTGTGGTTTGCCACCATCTAAGGTTTTGTAGTTCTGTAGATGTTTGGCGGATCCAGATTCGAACTTGTGAGAAAGGTAGGGGAAGAAGTGGGTACGGACCGACCACTCTTATCTCAGATCCTCTCTTTGCAAATTCATCTACTACATAATTTCTTGTGTCCCTTTATCCACAATAAGTCGAGGATATTACATCCAGGGCATGTTGACACTCAGTAATTAGTTTGCTGTTATCTGTTTGCTTTCTAGTGCCGTCAGTACGGCAGCACTGTCAGATAGTTTTCCAACACCCGTCACGCAGCAGCAGTGCACGCTGTTGCAGCTTCTGTTAGGGCGGCACATTCGCATTGAAAAGTCGAGTTGTATGTAGCTAGCGGTAAGTGTATGTTGATATATAGATCAAGAAAGTGTACTCCGACTCCTGACCCATTTCGAGGATTGCAGCCATAAGTATATATGCCTAACTCGCAGGCATCTGATTGATCATGTTTAGTTACTTTAGTTACATGACTGGCGTGATTGAGTAATAAACATCCATCTAAACATCCAAACATCTAAACTTTCAAGTTTATAATATTAGTAAGATTTCGATTGACTTTTTTTTCGTCAATACTTTTATGTATCTAAGGTATGAGATACCGTCGCAAATTGTCAACCGATTTTAGGTTTTTTTTAAAAAAAGACAATTTTTCTAAACTTGAGAAATGCATACCACCTGCAAACAGGTGATTAAGTAGGTCTGACTGGCCAGAATAACAACTAATACTCAACGAATACGGCATCACAGGATCGCTTCCGAACTCAACCACCACGTCTGTCTGTAGAGATAGACCAATATAACCATAGTTATCAGAGAGGTACTAAGAATGACCTGCATGGTACGACTGGTTGAATAAAATCAAAAGAATCCGAAAATCTAAAAATGTATTTAGCATTAAAAATATAAATTATGAACTCTTATATACTACATACCTGTCCATATGGATAATGGCGGTACGGGGATCTCCCGTAGCCCAGGTTGGCCAACATGTCGGAACTGAAGCGATTGAACAGTCCTCCCCAAGCGTGGGCAGAGCTCAGGCAAGCGATCAGGAATAGAGCGTGGGCCGCCATTTTGATCTGTACAAAAAATACACTATCATGAAAATCTCATTAGGAACAAAGCAAAAATCATTCAAATAAATGCTAATAGATGGCATTATATGTATCGATTTATTGTTGACGCTTTATAAGAGGAATAATTCTGAATAAAATGAAAAAATAATGTATTAATTTTCATATAACTTTATCAGTTTACGCGGCGCGCGCCAATATAGCTACCAGTCGGCATGTTTTTTTTCGACATCTTCAACAATGATCGTCAAATTTAGCCAATTTACGCAAAACCTTAATAAATTATAAACCTAAACCTCGTGAATCACTTCATCTATTTAATGTATGTATGAAAATCCATTCAGTAGTTTTTGAGTTTGTCGTGTTCAGACAGACAGACGCGGCGGGGATTTTAATTTATAATAAGTATGTAGTGAGGATTTAAATGAATGAGCAAGAGAAAAAAATCTTCAAATAAGATTTTCATTTAAAAATCTAATTAAGTAACATCTATTTGAAGAACGCCGACGGAAACTCGAAAAAATCTACATAAACTTGTACAAATTCATCTTCTAAGACTTCTTTTGAAACATCAAATGCTTAGAGCAATTCGTTTTTTCTGAAAGCAATTTTTCTTTCTCTTTACAATTTCTCTGTACAAATTACAATTCTGATAACTATATTTTTGACCGACTTCAAAATAAAAATGTGTAGTAAAATATTTTGGTGAATGGTTTTGTATTTTTTAACCTCCGACGCAAAAAGAGGAAAATTCTTATAACTGTAACGTGTGTATCTTTCTGTCTGTGTGTATGTCTGTGGCATCGTAACGATTTTAATTTGTTTTTTTTTGTTTAAAAGGTAACTTGATCGAGAGTGTTTTTAGCTATATATCATATTTTATTAAACAAGTTTTACTCGGAAGAATTATTTATCTAATTTAAAAAAAATATACTTTTAATATAGTAGAAATAGAGGGGTTAGATCAAGCTGATATAGATAGATTGTAACCGGCGGAGTCTTCATTTTTTGACGCAGGTATAGATAAATAAATAACAGTACTTTGAACTACTAATATAAATGTATAAGTTTGTATGTTTGTGTGTAAGTTTAAGTTTCATCCAAATCCGTACAGCCGTTTAAGCGTGAAAGAGTAATAAAGTACCCACACATACAAACTGTCGCATATGCCGAGTGAAGCAACGCTAAGTCAGTAGTGTTTTATGTAAGAATAATCGTCTTCTAAAATCCTTCATTTCGATACCCCACTCGATAGGTGTGGATGAATGAATCGATTTTTTTTTCATAACACAAATTGCCGAATGAAATCAGCCATTTTAATTTTTAATAAATATTTATGTACCATATAATAACAAAGGCGTTATCAAATCGAGTCTAAGGACCTATTAATCATCAAAATTGGTTAAGCCTTTTAGTAATTTCGAGCGAACATAGGGTCGGACATACATACAATACATAAAAACATACATACATGTCAAACACATAACCCTCCTTTAGGCGTTGTCGGGTAAAAAACAAGACGATCAGTTTTTATAAAAGCTCGGTGTTTTGTAAAGGCTTTGCGTAAAAAGGATTCCTTTATAAAAATATTTTGTTCAAAAAATACACTCGAGTAGAAAAAGCCTATTATGACAACAAGCGAAGCCAACAAAAATATCGGTGAACTAGTATTGCCCGCGGCTCCGCCCGCGTTCAGATGACCAAAAACCAAATTCTTAGGTTTTACATATTAGTATACTCTTACATTGCAGTTTTTTGTATTTTTTTACAGAAATAAGATATTTTCCCGCGGTAAAAAGTATCCTATATGTTGACTCGGATAACCAGCTATCATCATGCCAAATTTCATCAAAATCTGTCCAGTGGTTTCTCGTGATGCGGTAACAGACAGACAGACAGACAGACAAACAAAAATTCTAAAAACTATAAATTCGGACTCTGTATCGATAATAACGTCTATTTCAATTATATTTTCCAAAAAATATTTAATGTACAGATTCGACTTAGTTACAATTTTATTATATGTATAGATAATATTTCTACATATACGTTAGGGATACTAGAGTGAGCTCGTGGCTTTACTCGCTTAGTTTATTTTTGTACTAGCGATTTGCCCTCGCTTCGCTAGGTACGTCTACATAGATAAAAAATGAAGTGTCTGTTTGTAATATTAAAATAATAGCTTTTTACTAAATGCATAAAAGTATATACGGTACTAATAAGAAAAAAAAATTAAAATTTTTGTCTGTCTGTCCGTTTGTTTCGGTTAATTTCCGAAACGGCTGGACCGATTTTGATGGGATTTTCATTGGCAGATAGCTGATGTTTAAAGAGTAACTTAGACTACTTTTATTTTAGTAAAAGAATCAGGGTTCCGCGCAAAAAAAATTAAAACACATTTATTGTGAACAAAATCCGCGTATCTTGGGACGCACACTAGCGAAGCTAAGGTAAGTCGCTAGTTTTGAATTAAAGAGAAAAAAATTAAATATACTTAAAAAATACAAAAAAAATAATTATTTTTGTTATTCATTTTATTATATATTTTTTTTATTTTTTTTGCGTCTGAGTTCTAATGTTATTTTGCAGTCGATTGAATGTTATCGGAAATCCGTTTGAGGACCATCGCTCACCAGTTTTAATTTTAAAATGTAATAAATATTGACATCAAAGTTAGTTACCTATTATATATAGTTTCAGGGTACAATTTTTTCTTGAAAAATCATAAAATTAAATACTTGAATAGACAAAAAATACAAAAATTATAATTTTAAAAGTCAAATTAAATAGAAAAAAATAATACATGGTAACGATCATAGAACCTACTCCTTTCATAGAGTCGGTTAAAATAATATTTTCTTACATTTACACGAATATAAGACATTTTAAATGAAACTACCTTTTCAGGTTTTGTCATGGTTTTATTTAACAATAGCGGTTTTTTCTCGTTAGCTCGTGTGCGTCCCTAGAAATAAATGGTTTGGAAACAAACATACAAGGAAACTTTCGTAATTTTTTTGGCCAATCACATTCGCGAGCGTACGAAAAATAACTCACTAGATTTCTAAATAACACTATCTTTTCGGATTTTTCCGCGTATTTATTTTGATTTTTGGTCCTCGACTTTTCGAATGCTTTACAGCATCCATGGTCACGGGAGAGGCCTGTGTCTCGGAAAAGATCCGAAAAGATTGTTTTATTTAAAATGTCAAATATTCGCATGAATCTAAGAAAGTATTACTAAATTTTCATCACAATTGGATGAATGAATTAGGAACCCATTTAGTACATACATTATTACATAACTCATTACCATACTTGCATTGCCCGCGGCTCCGCCCGCGTTCTGATGACCAAAACCCAAATTTTTACGTTTTACATACTAGTATACTCTTACATTGCAGTTATTGTAATTTTTCTCAGAAATGGGATATTTTCCCGCGGTAAAAAGTATTCTATATGTTGACCCGGACAACCAGCTATCACCATACTAAATTTCATCATAATCCTCCCAGTGGTTTTCTGTGATGTGGTAACAGACAGACAGGCAGACAAAAATTCTAAAAACTATAGATTCGGCCTCTGTATCGATAATAATGTCTATTTCAATAAGATTTTCCAAAAAATATTTAATGTACAGATTCGGCTTAGTTACAATTTTATTATATATAGATATATAGACTAGTGACTCACCTTCGTTTCGCTCGGTTTTGTCTCTAATTACGTTTTAACGTTTAATATAGATTTTCTAAGAGATGAGATATTTTCTCACAGTAAAAAGTATCCTTTATGTTGACCCGGATAACTAGCTGTCATCATACCAAATCTCATCAAAATCCCTCCAGTAGTTTGTCCGTGATGCTGTCACAGACAGACAGACAGAAAAAAATCTATAAAAACTATAAACTCGGCCACTGTATTGATAATAATGTCTATTTCAATAAGATTTGCCTAAAAATATTTATTCCAGAATATTATATATAAAGATTCAGCTTAGTTACAATTTTATTATATGTATAGATTTTTGGTTCCCGAGTTTTGAATGCTTTGTAGCCAACCGCGTCACGGGAGAAACTTACAGTCTCGCAGAGTACCAGAGTATTGGGAGTGTACATTTGTTTGATATGTTTAATTTAATATGTATGTAATTTCCTTTATCTATACATATAATAAAATTCTGAGTCGAATCTGTACATTAAATATTTTTTGGAATAAATATTTCTTGGAAAATTTTATCGAAATAGACATTATTATCGATACAGAGGCCGAACTCTTAGATTTTTTTCTGTCTGTCTGTCTCTCTGTAAGCGCATCACGGAAAAACCACTGGAGGGATTTTGATAAAATTTGGTATGATAGCTGATTATCCACGTCAAAATATAGGATACTTTTTTCTGCGGAAAATATCTCATCCCTGAGAAATCTATACTAAACGTTAAAACGTAAGTAGTGAGAAACTCGAGCGGAGCGAGGATGAGTCGCTAGTTGTAAATAAAATAATTAAAAATTATATATGAAGCTGAGATGAATCTGTACATTAAATATTTTTTGGAAAATCTTATTGAAATAGTCATTATTATCGATACAGACGCTGAATCTATAGTTTTTTGAATTTTTGTCTATCTGCTTGTCTGTCTGGAAACGCATCACGAGAAAACCGCTGTACAGATTTTGATGAAATTTGGTAAGATGATAGGTGGTTATCCGGGTCAACATATAGGATAATTTTTATAGCGAGAAAATATGTAATTTCTGAGAAATCTGTACTAATCATCAAACCGATAACTAAGGACGAACCCGAATACAAGAAAAGTCGGTTAGTAATTATTCCGAAGCTCTTAGAAATGGAACTAAACGTAAATTTGGTTTTTATATTGGTTTAGGTCTTAACTTCCTTGAAATACAATTAAATATTT